TGCAGGTACAGGTAGACTGTCTTCAAATAATGTCATGTTTATTTGCTACTTCTTTATAAATTTTAGTTTACCAAGGCTATTTGTTAAGTGGATTGTTATTTGTATAATCTGTGTATATACATATATATGCCTTGTATTTCCTTGGAAAAGGACAGTATTTTCATATAAATCCATTTCATTAAATGTCCTATTTCACCAGGGAGAACCTGCATTAAACTTTGATTGTATTTTGTACTTAATGAGTTTGTAGCATTAATGGTTGGGGATATTGTAGAACTCATATTTGACAGCAGTAACAGCAGTACCACGAGACTTCAAGTACTTGTGGAGGAGATTTTTTGGGCCTGTTTCTTGTTTTTGGGAACACCAAGGCTAATGCTTGGCAAGGATAGAATATAGTTATTATACTGTAGGTAACACTTTTATTAATTGAAAGACACCGTACGTGTTTGCAGAAAGTTTGTCAGTCAAGAACATCAGGACTATAGGTAAGATCTGTGTGTACCTTGTTTTCAGACAAACTTGGTTTTGTTTTTTCTTTTTTTTCTTTAAAGGCTCTCACTGGATATTGTTCTTCCAAAGATTCAGATGACTGGTTGGGTAAAAGACCTTGAGCAAAATTCTGTACTGTTCATGCCAGGTATGTTACACTGTGTTGTGGCTTTTTGTTTCTTTTGCGTCTTTTTTAAAAAAAAAATTATGCTGGAAATAATTTTTTTCAAAATAAACATTAAATGTTTAAGCTCCAGTGTTTTACCTTGTTGAATTTATTTTCTTTCAAGCTCAGTGCATTTGAAAACTGTTAGTAAGTACTGACTACAGCAATGTTGTGTCTCCCACACCTTCGAAGATTTTTTTTATGGTCATTCACATACAACTTTAACAACCTGCAGTGACCATGTGGACACGTAGTAAAGCCAGGCTGTGCTCTAAGAATTGCCATCTCCTAAGGACATTGTCTAACCACACTTCAGAAATGTTTTTCCTTAGTTGAAGGTATTCGTTTATTAGCTAGGGACACTCATAAGCTTTTCCTTTCCAATAAATTGTTTATACAATAAACTTAGAAATTCTCTTTTTGGTGTAAATTTGACTCTTAAAAACCTAAAGCATTACGAGTTATCTTGCTCTCTTCCTTGCAGTATAAACAAATCAGCTTTCTAATGTTTATTATTTGTTTTTACACTTTAAAATTCTGCATTTAGAGTCAGAGTAACACGTTTCCTTTGAGTCAGGCTTTCACCACTGTGTAATTAAAAGTTGGAGAGCTTGTTTGCCTCTCTTAACTGGTTCCTTTTCGCAGCTTCCCATGCTCAGGTACCTCAGTGTGTACTCAAGACCTCAAAGTATAAGGCGTCTTTGTGAAGACACCTGTATCGGGAATCCCAAAAATACTCTTGATAATTTGCTTTTTAAAATTACATAATTGATCATGATAATTAAAGAATACAGTTGTGAACCCCTACCTGAGTGCAGCTGTTTTCTTTGGCTTGGATGAAGCCTTCAGCCTGTTCATGTAAAAAATCATGGGCCAATTTTGCAAAGCTTTATAAAAATATCTCTCCAGGTTTTACTAAACCTTTATCTGCAGTGAGTCACTGCTGATGTGCAAGGCAGAATTCAAATAATATTTACAGATAATGGACATGTCCATCATCGTGGATGTCCTGCAGCAAACACGGCTCATGTGCAAATGTATGTGTCAGTATGTTCTAGAACTTTGTTGTGTAACTGTCTGATGGGATCTGTGAGAACTAAGAGTTTGTGTTTAGAAGTGATCTCATACCTTAAGAACAACAGAGCATATCTAAAATCCCATGTGTATTTTCAGTTTAGAGGGTCAAAATCACAGATATTGCACAGTCTGTTACAATAAAGGCAAGACCAGTCTGATGATAATGAGGGGACGGAGCCTGTCAGACCCAAGACTTGTGTTCCTAATGTTATATCCTGAAATGTCTAAAGGTGCAACTTTTAACTGACCTGCTCTTCAAAAAATAGCAAAATTAAATATTAAAATTAAACCCCACAGTGTCAGGAGCAGATCTTGGCTGACCTGTATGTTCCACGATAAATACGAAACTGAGCACTTCAGTCTTAATCAGATCTTCAATCTGCACTTTTCCTATGTTGTCCTGATGCTGTTTGTGCTGAATAGGTATTACAATAAAGGCAGTTCTACCTGTCTCGTGTTACTTTTCTGAGCTCTTTGGAGCTGCCTTTTCTTGTAAGAGCAATATATTTTTATCTAGCACATGGCAGCTTGATCTCTACATTACGTAGACCTCAGTAGGTTAGATGCACACTACTGAGACTTGAGGGAAGTTTTATCTTTATGGCTACCCTGCAGCTGCTCCTGAGGGTTGAGGGAGTCAGGAGAACCTCTCTGGTTGAGTCCCAATAACCTTTTCAGTAGAAGAAGCTGTTCCTCTGGGAAAGTTAAGTATTCTTATAGAATTGCTTTTTGTAGCTTTGACATCTTATATAGAAGAGCGTTGGTGTGGTGATACACGTAATCTTTGCCAAAAGACTAA